AAGCTAAACTTTAAGCTTTTAGACTCATAATAGACTCTAATAGATATTAATTATCTTCTATTTATTTCAATTTTAAACCAACAACTTTTAATTTCTAATGAAATGCCTGATTAAAAGATTTATTTTGATAGAATAAAAAAAAATCTAAAATATCTGACGATGATAAATAGTTGCAAAAAATCTATGAAAAATATATTTTCTAAATTTAATGATCTTAGAATTTTCCGAATTTTCTATTGAAAAATGTTGAAATCGTCGTTTCTCAAAAAACATGATTTGAATATTTCCTTAAAAATTACTAAGAATACAAAAAAAAAATATGTATTTTATTTCAGAAACTCTACTTTTTGTAACTCGGGTCAATTTTTATTCTATTGCAAATAGAATAGAAACTATCATGGAAAATTTTGATATTTAAGATATCTCAAGTATGGTATTTCAAGATGCTATACGTTTTTATTGAATGAATGGAAATCTTAAGACAACTTAAAATTAAATTTACGGTATTTTTAAATTTAAGATTATATAAATGCTGTTAAAAGCAAAATGCGATTCTACTGTGCGTGTTTTGATAGTGTCCCAACGATTTTTTTTAAAGCGGTTGCTTTACGCCAATGCACGCCATCATCTATAATGGGACACCGGTGAAGTGCAGTGCTGCAATTGGTGCACGACAATGGTGATGTGGAGAACACAAAGCAGGCGGGCAGGAAAAGCTACGCGTTGTTAAATGGCTTGCGATGGGGGTCGGTGTTGCATAATGAGGTGGTTGCCTCGTGTTAATGGAAACTACTTCAACGACGCGTGCGAATAATCCGTCTGTCAGTCATTTCACTTGGCCAGGCATAGCTCCTTTAAAATTCTAGCGTCACCCACAATAGAGAGATCGATGACCGACGGTGTATGATTCAACGCCCAGTGGCACGAACTTGAAAATCGCGCGCGCGAAGGACAAAAAAGTGAATGAAAAACGTGGAAACCAGATTGACAGGCGGGGCGCAAGCGCGCGACGTGTTTGTGTCGCTCTCTCTCTCTCTCTCTCTCATTCTCTAATTGCAACAAATTCAAATGCGCGAGGGCCGCGCTAGAAAGTCAAGAACCGACGAGCGGATTACTCGGATACCAACTTGCTCCACTCCTACCCGATCTGACGGTATCTGGAGTCATTTTAATCGTTTGACAATTGGCAATCGAGCTGAGTCAAAAGTTGACAAACGCAAGTTGACTTCAACACTCTGCTCCAAAAGAATTCGCACGACTATTGGTACTTTCAAATACTATTATCGAATAGTAAAATCAACTTCAAATATATTCTTTTGGAAAAATCAAAAAATATAAAGACTTAAAATAAGAAGTGCCATATTTATGCAAATATTTAATTGAAGATACGTGAATTATAAAGTGTAAATTATGCTTTCTCGCATGATGTTACTTTTAAGGAGTGCAAAGTAACCGTTGCTCGAGACAGCATATTGTAGACAGAGAAAATCTTGTTTATCTATCGAAAGAGTGTGCTTGGTCTATCTTTCTTTCAGCTATTGAATTCTTTCACACCTATCATTCGTAATTATGCACGGTTAGTCTACAGGCGATTAGTAAGCGCTTTCTAGCCTTTCCATCTTACCTTGCCGGCAATCACCGCTTGGACCGAAAGTACATTGGCGGCTCTGTGATATTCCAGAACCTCGCCTGGCAGCACATGGCCGACGCCGGGATCGAACCACACCAACTCACCCTACACCCAAATAATATTATTGTATTCTAGATAAACAGATTATAAGAAGAATGACATAGGTACATCTACTCTTGCTAATATTCAAATAATCCGTGAAATTTACATTTTTTTTCTTTTAAAAATGGCCTTTCAGAAAATAAATTATTTCAACTTTCTCGCTAATCCCTTCAAAATTCATAGCGTACGTTTATATACATTTAAGATATTGATTAGAATAAGATACAGATACAAGCGAAGATAAAGCTTCATTAGGCCTTAATATTTCTTTCGGCCTTCTAACTTCAAACCGTTTTCAAGTTCCACGACGGAGATCTACGCGTTATGGAGGACGCCTGAACTCTCCTCTTTCCGGTGCAGAAACCAAATATTGATGACGACGTGTCTGGAGAATTAGAACGAGCGCTGTTTGCGTCGCTGAACGTTCGGGCGTGCGTCGGGATGCGCGTCGCTGTCTTTCTCACGTAATTCGATCTCTCTTTGCTCTGCTTCGTCAACACTCGTCCGCTGGTCGAGACTCTTCTCTGCTCGTCCGCATTTCGCGTCAGTAGTCCCCCCGTCGACGTTTTCCGCCCGATCTTCATGTAACTCGGCAATGTTGTCGATCTTATTTCTGTTTTCGACCCTTCCGTTTGTCTCTCCATCGACAATCCGCTCTGCGATTTCGGTCGAGATTTCGCTTGCTTCTCACCAATCCACGTGGAATCTCTATAAGGACACTTATTGCTGGACCAAGAATCCGTTCTTGAATCTTTTCTCGTAGACCAGGTGGAATCTATGCGGCACGTTCTTGCAGTCTCAAGATCGTTTCTTCCCGCTTTGAAATTACGTATACGATCGATGTCCGTTTTGGAGACCAATATAGCGTTACGCTTAACTCTAACCACGTCTTGATCTCGATCCTGATGTATCCTTCGCTCTAAGGAATCCATTTGATCTACATTGGTAATTATTCTGCGCCTAGACATCGTTTTGTCAATCGGTTCAATCAGTCTCTCTTCAGAGGGAGCTTGCCTGGAGGTCTTGCGCGCGACCTTCGCATAAATATCATCGCGAGTGACATCATCCGTGCACCTATATCGCTCAGGTGGATCAGGAATGGGATCCCGCAGGTGTCTGATTTTTATCGAAGTATCTACGCGATCTCCCGTTCCTTTCGTCCTGGAAAACTTGGTCGGAGTGCTCGAAGAAATCGCGGAGTCGCGCAACGCAGCCGCGCCGGTCGGTAGCGACATTTTCCGCCGGCGAATCCTTCCGTAGATCGGCGCTTCTCTCCCGGTAGCTTCCCTGGCCCTCGAGGAGGAATACTCTTCCGATCGAGACGTCCTCGAAGGGTGTAGAATCTTCGGCAAGGTGGACGGCCGCGAGAGATCGCGATTCTCTTTAGCCGAACGAGCGGAATTCGGAAAAGACGCTGAAGACGCTGAAGTTCTCGCAACGTCCTTGAACTGTGAGCTCGCTTCTATGCTAGCACGACGTCGCAGAATATCCTGCCTAGAGACCTTCTTCAAAAGCGAGGAAGTGCGCTCGCTCTCCTGACGAGCTCTCCTGCCAACTGACGGCAACGTCCTCGGTCTCTTCTCGATCGGATCCTTTTCCGGCGTGGCGCGGATCGTCTCGGCCTCGTCTTCGACGCATCTACGCCGTAGAATCTCCTTCCTGGAGATCGCCATCCCGCGCGGCACCGTGTAAAAGATCTCGTGATCATTTCTCGCAACGATCGCATTTCGGCTTCCCGCATCTTTCGACGGCCGTCGCGCGCAAGTTCGGTACTCTTGCCTGCTATCCGCTTCCGGAGTGCAGGAATCCAGGGCGGAAATCGAATCTGGGTCTGGGCCGCTGCCGCTCGCATTATGCAACGCGCGTCTGCCGCGGCCGCTGGATAACGGTTCTGCGCTCGAGTAGAAAGCTTCCGAAGAGTGTAGCGAAAAGTGACTTCGCGGGGTCGACGATCGACCCACGGACCAGCGTCGTCGTTGCTGTTGTTGCTTCGCGCCCGATCCCGGCGAATCCACGTTTGCCATCGCTGCCAGGAATATCGGCGATCGACCACTTCATATGCGCGGACGCGACATCGCACTTGCCCTTTCATCAAAAAATTTCTTTTCTCACGTTCTTTCCCTTCGCGAAAGACCTCGTCGATTATATATTAACAACTCGGGTCTTCTATTCTTCTTAATTTTTTATTAGCTTCAAATCCACTCATCCAGCATCCCAAACGCATAATGACGGACATTAAACATTATCCGCGGAAGATCTCTATTTATATATGTCTAATTAATTTTCTTTCTGAGTCGAATCTTTCCTGTACAAAATGTGTCGCATGTAAAATATAAATGATGCACAATATATCAAAACGTATGCTCACAGACGCACAGTCCCAATATGTTTGCGTATGAATTTTTATAAGGTTTTTAATAAGGTTTGTTTATCCTTAATATTTCAACTATTCCCACGATCCACAGTCCACAATTATACGACGCACAATTATGTGTACAAATTTCTTACGGTTCCTTTCCTCGTTTTTGTCTTTTCAAACATTGCGTGCAGAACGATTGCGTTTTTCCCTCAGTTCATAGCGACATCGAATTTCGATTGCCTGTCTTTCCTTTTTTCTTCTCTAAATTCGCTCAATTTAAATAACAATCTCGTCGGTGGATGATGGACGCGTGTAGCATTTCAAGTCAATGCCCGCTGCGCACTCTCTCATGATGCGTCGAAATATATCGAATACACGCGACGCACGTCTTTCACTCGCGAGATCGTCGGAAGATCCGACGCTTCACTTCAAATTGACGTGACGTGACGTGACGTGACGTGACGATCAGACGTGACAGAAAGAATGTTTAAAGTCCCATATAAAATGACTCGAATCACTTTCTGCCTAGTCAAATATCAATTGCGTTTTACAATATAATTATTTACATATATAATTAATGTTAACGTTAATTATTTATTGAATTACGCAATCAATAATTTATAAGATTATAATTCATTAGAACGTACAGTATATTTTATATATTGTTTATATTTAATATTTGCTATTTATTATTTGTGAAACGTTACTCGTGCATAAACACGATTTTAACACCGTTTATCACATAAAAAACGAAAAAAAAAAAAACGAAGCGAAAAACGGGTCAGGCACGTCGCGGTCACCCAAACAAGTTTTCAGTTAGATACCAGTTGTCTAGTAGTCGCGTAGCGAGAAAACCGCTTGGTCGTTCGGCTATAGAGTTGTACGACCAGTAAAACAACGTCACATAAAGTTTTCCCGTTTTCCAATTGAAACCTGCGTTGTAGCCGTCGAATATTTCAGGGTGAACCGTCGTCCGTCCACATTCGTCGAGACTTCACATTCCTCCATGTTAGCCTTCATCCGACGCACATTTCCGCACATGTACCGCTTTCCGCTGTGTCCGTCCATCGCGTTTTCCTCACATTTCGTGTTATTTATTTACAGCGATCGCGCCAATCAGGTCCTATCTTGAGGAGTCTTGTCACGCTCGGCGTTCGCGACCCAAGTCGTTGAACGATGGGACTCGCGTTGTCGCGCGCATGTTAAATTCGGCTTAAAGAAGTTAGGAGGCCATGCAGACGTCTATCGGGCTCATTGGGTCAGTCGGCAAAAGTCTGTGCCGCACACGCGGAATTCGTTAACGGTGCCCGGCGATGTCATCCTTCGGTCCCGCCGATGCTCTCACCCTCCCCGCCATCGCCGTCCGTCGCGACTTACGAAAGCGACCCTTCCACGGACGAAGAGATTCCTCGGAGGGAAAGGCCCCCTTTCCCTCGCGAGACCGAAGATGATCGCGCGATGCGGACGCTAGGATGTTCGACGCGGCACTGGAAGTTACGGGTCTTCCTTCCCTCTCCGCAACAATTGCCTCTGGTATACGCAGTGGCGTATATATGCGATCTTAATTGAGACACGCTAATTAGGCCGTACCCGAAAGGGATCCATATTTCCCGACCGGACGTGCTACTCTGTTCTAATCGTGCCGTCGCACTTTCCCCGTATCCTTGGCCTCATCTCGCCAATCTTGTCTCGTTCATCATCTCGTCATCGTGGCGGGAGCCTTCATTCGCGTCTAGACCGTCATCTAACGTGATGGAAATCATAAGCTGCCGGCGCCAGTGGATCGAAGCGCTTTGGGGTGGAACCAAGCGTGCCTCTCTTTTCTTATATAAATTACGCGCTAAATATGCGCGCGCGCGCGCGCCGGTATTATATACAGATGGCTGCCAAGACAGGCGTAGGAACGCGCGAAGGGAAGTGATTCTGCCTAGCGGCCGTGGCGAGTTGCAGAAGAGCGATAGAAATTGTCGATTGCACGACGAGCGCAACCGCAAGATGGGATCGATTATTTTTTCTTCTTACGACGACGTCGGCTTGTTTTATCGACATAAACAGACTTTCCGGCGTTACATGTAATCTTTTTCTGAATTATTGCGTTCCTTAAAATTGGAGAAAAAAAAAGAGGAAGCAGCCTTACGACATCGTTTCATCTGAATATTGTTTTTATTCAGGTGAATAGAGGATGAAATATTCGGACTATAAAAGAAGTCGTGGCACAGCTCATTAAATCCCTAATAACTTCATGTCTTTATTTTCGATAATACCCGTTATTTAATATCCATTTCAATTTTGTTAATGCCCTTCTACTATACTCGTTCCTTGGCGTACGGAATGCTTCCTTAATTATTCCGCTCATTATTCGCGATTGGATGCGCGGGGAGCGAAGTAAAAGTGAGAAGCCGCCATTGCGCCGACCCGCTCGCGATGCATCTCTGCATTCCAAACGCATCCGCCTGGCAAAATTTTTCAATTTGTATCTCTATGTTACCACTATCGTTCCTATATAAGTACAGTTGAGTTTAAAAATAACCGAGTTATCGAGTCTCAAATTGATTCCATCAAAATTCACTCGTAAAGCGAAACAAAAGCCCACATTTAATTACACATTTCAGTCGGCTTACAATTCAAAAGTTTTACTGATATTTCGAGACGCCTATATATTATGTTGAAAAAGAAACCGATTTCTTTAAGTTTACAAAACAATTTATTGTTTGATATCTTTTATCGAAAAAGTTTTATAACAAGTGCACACACTTTAACAGTCGAGACACGTATATTTTTTTTAAATGCGCTCACTTCTAACAATCCTTTAAGTTTCCTCAGTAATCTCATACGGAAATCCATTTTGTAAGCTAAAGTGTTTTTCTCCAATTCTACCAAAGTCAAAGATGATCGATGCACGGATCTATCGTTGACTAAGCATCGAAATAGGCGGACGAGGCGTTCGAAAGTGTTGCTGCGAGCAGCAATGCAATTGCGTGTGCGCAGATCATTGACTCCGACCACGCAGCGATCCCACCGCGGTCGTGACCACATAAACATTGTGTAATGCCGTGACAATTCAAAAATTATTGTTGTCTTACGGTTTATAAGTTCTACGAGTTCACGAGTGAGAATTGCGAGGAATAACAATAAGCGAGGAATAACAATTTTTCTTTCATAAAAGTCAATCAATCTCTTCGCTATCGATATCTTCGATTATATATACTTTCCTTAATAAAGTAGCACAGCACTTTAGAAACGTTCGGTATTTGATGCGCGCAACACTCGCAACACGTGTTCATTGTTGCAGCCACGTAAGAACAACTCACGACGCGAGTCCAAGTCTCCCAAGGTACATAGTTAATAAATATCAACTCACCTTTTGCCACTCGCCGTACATCTTGGAACGGCGTTAAATCGACCTCCGTGTGAAAGTATCCGTCATTTTGCGTCAAGCGATTGTTCTGGAACAAAACGACTAATTATTTTCAGTCAAAAAATTATTATCGCTTATAATCTGTGGAACTCTTCAAGACACCGATCTGATCTTAAACAAGAAATATTAGCCGATCGCACTGATAGAAATATCGTCCCCGGTTGCTACTCAGGTATTCCCCCCCTCCGCCCCCTCCCTCAATTATTCCGCAACTTCCGGCACGGTTCAAAGAATATCAATGTTCAGCTCTAAATTCTTTACAGTTGTATGACAAGTTTTTTTATAGTTGTATTATCACACAAAACACACACACACACACACACACACACACGCGCGCGCGCGCGCGCATATATACGTTTATTTTAAATATTCGAAAATATTTTGAAGCTACAGATGTACTACACAAAGGAAAAGACGCTTTTGTTTTATCGCAAGAATCACACAATTATCATTAAAAAATTCAGATAATTTTCATAATGTTACAAATTTAACTTGTGTTCGAAGAAATATTCATTAGTTCAACGCGTGAGCGCGGCTTGATATCGATCATAATTACACGTTCGGAAATATGGGAAGTGTCGCAACTGAGTATTCAGCTCCGCAAGATCGAGATACACACGACCACGCACGTATCTGTATTTCTATGACGTATACGAGATGTATAAATATCATTTATCATGCATTCCATTTTTATCTTTTGCTCATTACAATATGATTCTACTATTAGTAGATACAAAAATGTACAAAAATGATCTTGTTTTTCTGAAATGCATTAAAATATTTTAATGATTATAGAGCGGAAAATTGTAAATACGAGAAAACTATGAAACCAAGTTGTATCACTTTCTCTCTCAATTCTATCATTTATATTTTATCTTCTAAGAATTAACATTGGCACATTTTGCGTATCTTTATCTTGCCAGCTATTTTTATGGTTTTTGCGAACGATTGCCATAATTATTATTTATTGTTATTTATTCTTATTTCATATAGTTACATTTGAGCTTAAATTTAGGTTTATACAAAATTTTAGAAGACGATTATTATTCTCAAGATAATAATTTTATAGTCTATCGTACAAGACGTCTCTTCTTAATTCCGTCAGTCATGTTATTTCTTAATTATTGATGTGACATATTTCGCATATCTCTGCATATTTCATCAGTTATTATATTTTTTCTAACAATAGTCATAATTATAATACATTTGTTATTTTTTACGCGGTCACACGTACGATTAAATTTTCTGGTTATGAAATTATTATTTTCAAAATTCAAGGCGATAGCCTCATAAATCATCCAAACTATTTCGTTCGGAATTCCGTTATTATATGATCTCTTAATAATGGATGTGGCACATCTAGCATATCTCTATTCCATCAGTTATTATATTTACGGTTTCTTCTAATTGCCATAATTATAAATTCTTATTTTTGTTATTTTTCGTATATTGTTACATTTGCAATTATATTTCTTAGTTTTTACAAAACAATTCAAGGCAATAACCTCATAAATCCAAGTCATCTCGCTCTTAATTTTATTTACATCTTTTAATAATTAATGTGACACATTCCGTATATCTTTATTTTTCTAAACAATTGTATTTTTATAATTTCTAACAATTGATATACAGTACCAATTCTCGTATTATTGTTACTTCATAATTTTACAAATATAATTATTATCAATTAAACAATGTTTATGATTAAATAATGTTTGAACTTGAATTTTTTGGTTTCAAAAATGATATCGTTTTCGAGACATAGCCCCCGAGGGCCATAAGTCGTCCGGCCCTGCACTTTGCATCGCGTTGCAACGTGTGAGTGAACGTACACTCACGTGCGTCAAGCGCGGCGCGGATAAATCTCTGCGGCTATAAAGCTTCTAGTAAAAGTAGCAAACGGCCGGCGTCCTTCTCCAGCATGCTCACCGCGGAATGTATTTCGCAATTTTATGCTAATTTGGTTAGTCACCCTCGATCAGCACGGCAAAACTCGCGATCGCGGCTGCGAGAGGACGCGTGGGTTAGAGATTATTGCTGCGGGACAAGATACCGATGACCGAAGACAATGGCGACGACGATGACGATGACGATGACGACGACGACGACGACGACGACGACGACGACGACGATTTGGCCTTTCGACACCGCTGACTGTTCATTGTCCATCGCGCTGCGACGTCTTCTATCTCTACGTCGACTCTTTTGGTGGATCCGGCTCGTCGGTAAACGGCAAAATGGCCGACCGGTTTCGCGAGACGGATATTCGTGTCGCGCGTCATTCTCTTCTTCTGTCAACATGAATGTATTTAGTGCCTAGATCGACTCTCCTGTGTATAAAAGCTTCTAAACGTTTGTAACGGGAATTGGAAAGAGACCAGAGTTTAGAAAATTGGAATTAGACTTTTACAGGGGCAGTGGGTCGTCCTACCTTTTTTCCGTAATGATTTAAGTAAATGAATTAATACATATGTATAATGTAGAATATAGATGAATATGATTTTTGGTTATTGCAGGATCTCACAGAAAATTATACTTTTTGTGAATCTATATATATATTTTAATGTTTCTGTAATATTCAACTGTGAGAAATATGTATATATTGATATAATTTTCTGAAAATTGACTCTCTCTCTCTCTCTCTCTCTCTCTCTCTCTCTCTCTCTCAAATTATCATTTTTAGTGATATTTGAATTAAATAATCAACATATCTTGAACAAATCATAACATATCATAAACAAATTAAAATAAAATAATTCGATTCTTCTTAATTCATTAGCCTATACAAATTAATAAGCAAGTTAGACGTAGATTGAAATATTAAACATATCTTATTTTACAATATATGATTTAATAGGAATCTTTTTATGTATTCCTTTTATTAAAAAAAGATGTTAAATATATGAAAATTTTGAATTTCCAAAATTTAATTTAAGATTTATCATTAATCGATGATTAATAAAATATGTAAATATAATGTTAATAAAAAATCCGTTTAGTATTTAAAAAAAATATATTTAAAAAAAATTAAATTTGGAGATAATATAGATTTTTTCATAAAATAAAAATTGTTAAAAACTTCCGTCTACAGAGGGAAAGTGAAGCTATGAAACGAAAACAATTCAATTACATAATAAGTGTATCAAAAATATTCAGTTTTCGATATGAGAAACTTAAACGAATATCTATCTTTTTTCTTTTAATAAGACAATTATGATTATAATATATTAATTACTTTTAATAACATATACTGAAATAGAAAGAAATCAACTGTATATAAAAAATGCAATTTCTGAAGCTGCTCTTATGTTTCGCCATGCGGCATTAATTAAGAAATATATGCAAATCAGATTTTTAAAGAATATCAAGTATATAATAACATATCTCTTCGGTCAATTTGCTTTATTTAAGTCTCGTAAAGCTCGTATATATTTATATGTAGCAAATCATTAAAATATTAAAAAAACGTAAAAATTTCATAAATTATTCTACTATTTCTTCTAAATATCTGCATAGAAACTAAGCACAATTCTCCGTTTAAGAAGTATCAAATTAAATTTTTAAATTTACATTGATTCTTACAGATAGAAATCGCGTATTGCTAATATAGAAGCTAAATAACATATTTAAGACACATATCTTATTTTAAAATTATTAATTTGATATACATAATTATCTTATAGTTTATGTTTCACATTTAATTTATTCAATACATATAATAATTCAAAATTTTCCTATGAATTATTATTAATTAATATTTTTTTTCTTGTAAATGATTTTAGAAGGCATTCATAACCAAAACCGTTTTGTTGTCCATTAGGAAAAATGTTAATTACTAATATTTTCTTTCATAGAAATGTTAGATTTTTATGTATTATTTTGCTCATACTTTAACTTTTTTATAATTCAAATTTATTTATTTTGTATTCGAAATAGTATAAGAATTATGTTTTTTTTTTTTTTTAATTTCGATAACTTTTGCTACTATTGTATGTACATGCATATTGTTTCACTGTCTGTGTGTTAAGGGGTGAGATCTGAAGGGATAATAAATCTCTACCTTTCTTTGTTTCTCTCCGAGAGACAATCTCGCAATAAAGGCATTAATGGTGGCGAGAGAATAGGAACTCTGCGATGCGAGTTATCCAGGTCAGACAGAGAAAGCAGCAGCCTGACTGCACGGTGATACAAGGATCTTATGTAATTCATAATCGCACCTCTCTCGCGGCTATCGAAACAAGAGTCAGCCGGGAGATTAATCATACGTGATCCTGTCGCTAGTACTGCCTTGTTTCAAAGTCACCGTTACACCCAAAGCCAAAACCATTCGACCGAATCGAGCGACACCGTATTCCCAATCGGGCACGCCTCTTGCACTTAATTCAATTCGCGACCGACCTGACCGATAAGAAAGCAGCTTTTAGGAAGTACTTTCTCTCTCCGGGTTTTTATTATTCGCTTCGTATCATTCACAATCGGACTTTCGTGTTACGCCAAATGGCGAATCGTTCGCGTGCGATCGCACTGCGTTTCCTCGGCGTCAATCATTTCCGCCTGTTATACTTCGTATAAAGAGATCATTACGACGATCTTTAGAATTAAGTGAAATTCATAGTATCAAAATTTCTAATAATTCAGCGTAAAATCGATTTACGTAAAATTTTTTCCGAGTCGAAATTTTTCTCCTATTTTTATATTACTGTTTTATTCCTGAAAACTTTTCCTTTAAACTGCCATAATAAAAATTTGTTTTTTCACTGCTTATTCCAAACTAATTATTATTCATTTTAGAAATTCAAATCCTATAAATTGAATCTAACACAATTGTTTAGAATCTATAAATATTTTAAATCAAGATATTAAAAAATAAAAATAAAATATTGACTTGTCTCATGTTATTTCGATATTATTGTTATCCAACTTTGAGAAATAAATTTTCAAATTTTCAAAAAGCTTGGTGTGTCCAAGTATCAAAATGTTAATAATTAATAATATGTAAATATGATATTCTTAATAGTCGCGTTTAAATATAAAAGATAAACTTGCATTAAAAAGCAGATTTTGTAAAACGTTTACTATACATTTTGTCTGTAACATAAATAGAAATATAAGATAATTTGCAAATAATATATGATAGTAGATTGATTGCAGAAACCGAATCTGCCATTTTATAAACAATTAAATAGAATATATAATTGAAACTGAATATATAATTGTTATATTGTAGATTACTAGCAATCTGCTGTCAAATTATGTCGCTAGGCTAACGAAATAACTTAATGCTTAATGTATATATACAGACACTCTACTTGTATTTGCTGGCAAACTGTTAGTATACTGCTAACTTTTGCTTACTGAATATTATGTACCATTTAATTAATCTAAAAATCCAATTTAATATCTCTTTCACTTTTTAACTGCCAAAACTCAATTCAACATGTTATGTCATGCCTTTAGATTAGCGCTTCCTGGTAAACTCCTTCGCTTTCCTTCATATTTTAAGAAATAATTTTTTAAATCAATGTGCGCAAATACAGCATAAAATTCTTTAAATTATCGTCGACGAGCGTTACTAATGATTTACTGTTATTTGTGTACAAATTACTACCCAAAGCAAAAATATATTATAAAGTCAACGTACAAGTCTTTTCACAACGACAATTAATTTAATTGTCGTTTCCGCCTTCTCGTAACTTCAAGCAGAAGGAACTGGGACTTAAAAGATAAGTAAGCGCCATTAATGGGAGAACGTTATCTTCCACGGTTGTAGACTGATGTATTGTCCTTGAATACTTTCGCCTAATTGTGCGTCGGGCGGAATGTCGTGCGCCGCGGCACGCCATTTTAAAGTCAACGGCATGAACTTTGTTCCGACATTTGCGAGGTAGACAAATCCCTCGCAGTACTTGGAATCATCTCAATTAGAAATCTTCTGAGTCCCGCCGCATTTCGAGTCATTTCGCGCAAATCTACGAAATCGATTTATACTTTTTTCTGGTATTAACCTAACTGTTTCTTGTTATTTATTCTCATTACATTGCTCACATGATTACACGGTCAGCGACGAACACGGGCGACAAACGGCACGCACGAGTACACGCATACAGCTAACTTCAGAATCCTAGCTAAACTTCTTGATTCTCAAGTGGCCTAGTGAGATCCCGATGCATAAGAACTAAATTAATGTTAATTTAACCTTTGCTCGTCCTTTGAAACAAATATGCAGGTCAGCTCTCTTATTCGGTAATTTGTAACAATTTTATTGATAATTTCGTTATCATTAACGCATAGTTGTGCAACTATTATACGATACATTTTGTCTGCATAAAGCTTTTATAATGCTTATAACATATATACATAATAAATTACAGAATAAGGGCACAGGATTTTTGACGGCACACAGTACTACATTCATTCAAATTAAATACATTCGATTTTCACATCTTTTTAATTCAAAATAATACATGATTCGACGTGTCATGACAGATATCTAAAAAGTAATTCTAAAAGTAATATATATATATATATATATTTCTAATAAAAATGTTCTTTTTAACAAATAAATTCTTCTATTTTCCTTAAAATTAATGAATAGAGATTCAAAGCACACACGAAAATTTATTGGAAAAATCAGAATTAAAGAATAAAACATTTTTACATGTATAATTATTATTTAAATCTTTTTCGATTCGACGTTCATATAATTTTAACATCTTTTAACATCTTTTAAACTTAATGTATAATCCATACTATAGAGAAAAAAAAACAATATTACAAATTTTATTTTTTTAAGATTTCATTTAAAATTTTATTTTGTATATGTATTTTATTTGTATTTATTGTAACCTTTTTCAAATATTCATAGATTTCAACTTTTATTTTTGATATAAAAAATTATAGATTATAAATATTATAAATACTTAATTCTTCACAAATTATTATAATTTTGTTTTAAATATCATAAACTTTATTTTTCTCTTTTAACATTGAAAAATTATAAATAATCCTTTATCATGTATATCATCTTTATTTATCATCTTTTATTTATTTTATTACCGATATACCGAAATAGTTTTAAATAATAACAAAATATATATTTATTGCTTTTACAATAATAGTGTTCCACTTCACAGACTATATTGAAATATCGTTTCAATATGTCTCGAAAGCAGAATTTTTCCGAAGAATAATTATAGAAGCTGATTTTGAAATGAGGTAATCTCGTGTCATTATAGCGATATATCGATTACAAATGCGATGATACGCGCGGAACGTATCCGCGAGACGATATCGTCGCGACGGGCGTCGATGTCTCCGGCGTGGTATCTTCGATACCGCTTATGCGGGAGAGATCGATCGCGCGACGTGCCGATCGCGAAGCTACTTTCTCAGACTGTTTCCCGTGATCGAGAACTCACCTCTGAACGCTGTGTCGCTGTGCTTTCTGACAGAAGCAGGATTCTTGCACGGAGTTGAAATAATCAACCGGAAAGGGGGACGAATTTTCAATCGGGCGACGTAACTGAGATTCCACGCGGTCCGCGGAGGAATACGAGAGCAGCGGCAATCCAATGAGGGACGTTAGATCTCGCTTCGCGTACGTTATTTCACAGGATACCGCTCCGAAACTGCACGCGAACTGCAGGCCCACCCCGTCGTCGCGATATTTCGACTTCTTTTTTTTTTTTCTATCCAAGCGTCGCGGACGATCGAGCAACGACTGGCTTCCACGACGCGATTCCAGATCGTGGTATGCGGTCGCTCGACCTCGCCTAAGAGGAAGGTAACTCACACTGCCACCATGAGGAGCCACCGTACGCCGTGTTTGTACCGTTACGCATGCGGTCCCAGGCTACAGGTGGATCCAAGACCTGAAGAAACCTGTAGAGCGACCGGTTTGTCAGAATTTGTCACGAGTTTTGAAATGTTTGAAACATCCTATAGATTGCCGACGGGACAGCGACGTTCCTAGTATTTCTGAATCTTGCGCTCTCCTCGATCCATTTTAAGATCAACTAAAAATTTTAAACAAATGCACACAGAAAGTGTACGTACGTACATTTTGGTCTTTTTATATCTTTTTCTTGTTATATCTTTGCGTACTTGTCGCAGCTTGTCTTATAACAATATTACAATAATAATATAGGAACCAGCGTGCAATACGTGCGTGTGACATGTGTGTTTAATGCATATAAATTTATTCGCAGACAAATATATTTGGTGAAGAAACGGGTAATTGATGTGGCAGCTCTCACGTTTCGTGGTCCAGTGAGGATTCCTCGAAGTAAGTTATATTTGGGCCCGCGCACGTCATGTCGCGTGCGCCACGTTGTAGGTGCATGCAGGTGTGCATTTCCCTCATCACCCGCATACATTTCCCAAATATGATACATACGACTCGCGGATAGGATACTCGATCGTTGGGCAATTACCAGAATCTCTTCGATGAGGTCATTTAATCGGCGGCCGTTGTCCCCGAAGACTGATATGGAAGAGAATCCTTTCTAAAGATCTTTGGCATCAATTCATGATAACCAAATTTTGACAAGGCATTAATGAAATTGGAAAAATTCCTAACAATCGGAGAAAATGGAAAGAAAAGGATTCGATAATAAAAATCTGTTGGCAAACGCTAGATAATTTCAATGATTCTGATATAGAGCGAGATATAGAGCGTTTGATTTACTTAGAATTTTTCAACAGATATTCATTATCGAATCTTTTTCTGTCCGCACACACACACACACACACACACACACACACACACACACACGCGCGCGCGCGCGCGCGCGCGCGCGCGCACGAACGCAGGCACGCGCGCACGCACACATAAATCTAGATAATATATCACATAATATTACATACGCACATTCGCACACGCCAATATTATGTAATTAAACAATTGTAGAAGAATTTAAATTATATATTAAGAAATTATATGTTAATAAAAAAAATGTTATGATACATACAATTAGTGAGAATAATAAGTATAGCTAAGCTTATCACGTTTTTAATGTGAGACAATGTGAGACATAATAACAAAATATTACAGCTAAAATATATTCTGTTATATGTTTTGTATCTTATATAATTTATAAAAATATAGCATATATTTTTAAAATTGGAGCTAAATAAACTCTTTTTATTCATTTCTTATTTCTGTCTCATTTCTTGCTTTAACACATAAATATAAATACAATAAATAAAATTAAAAAAAGATATAAAATATAATGTAAAATTTTTTTATCAATATAATTAATACTTATAACACAAGAATATCCAAAATAATTGAAAATGCTATATTAACTTGTCCAGATAATCTTACTCTATTCTTAATAACGAAAATTTTCGTATTTGCATTAATAGGAAAAATAAGCAAAAATCAAGTATCAAAAGTAGCGGTTTGCCTTCTGAAATCCCGCTATGTTAACGGGCTGAATCATAATTGTTTTTTTCACTTTTGCGGCTTTCGCGTGTTTCACTTTATTTTATATCGCGCGACTTATCGATGATTTAGCCAACTTTTATTTAGCAAACGTAACAAGCAAGCGACGACGCCGTTATTTTTGTACAGACATTCCTGATCACGTGGCAAGTAAATTAAATCAAGTCCACCTTGCCGCAGACGTGATGAGAATGGGGGAAATAGGTAATGGGATATGCGTTCTACTAATTTTATTGCCATAATGTAACAAAATGCGACATTATTTACATTACTTATTCAGAATATCACATATTAATAACTATTAAAATTCTTTAATCTGTAAAGGATTTCTAACAACAAATTCAAATTATAGAAATAAATTAAAGAAAAGAAATATAAATTTTTTCAGATGCTTATTATTTTTAATTATTCAGTTTAAATAAAAAACTTCGTATAAATATCAAGTTTGAAGAAAAAAAGTAATCACAACGAAACGTTATCATACAAAAACGAAGTGAACTCGTCGCTCCCTCTGTAATTTGTATTTTTAATTTTTTGATTATTTAAAAAACGTTAACATAAAGAATAGCAATTTTGATCGCCAATTAGCTATCCGAAATCTAATTGGCGACCACTGATCGATCTCTCGAATTCCTGTTCGCCGCTCAGCAATGCGACCGCATGCACCGTAATATCATAGGTATGCGAGCAATGCACCGTAGGTTTCCATTCACCGTTCCTTTGATTTCACGAGCGAAGGATACGCGGTAGCCTTCGGCAATCGAAGGAATTCCTTAATGACGGTGATCAACGATGCATTTCCATCTTTGATTAAAAAAAAAAAAACTTAACCTTTTTTTTAGTCGTTTACATAGCGCTTTAGAATGTAAAGAAGGGATATTTCAAAGAAGGGATATTGTAAATAATGGATAATGAAAACCACACATAAGCTACCTCTCGTACGAGGATCAATAATTATTAAGATGGTTGCAACTTTTTTTACTTTGGTTGAAAATATTTAATATTATATGTAATGTTATAAATTTAATCGTTAATGAATGAAAAAGCCTTAGATGAAACTTTTCTATAACAGGTAAAGTAGAGCAAAACCATATTGACGGTAGGTAAAGGAAATAATGTAGAACTGCTTATCTACAGAAAATACGTTGGCTAGAGAGGTAAAGAAAGATGGAGTTTGTAATACATATTATTGACTGCTGAAAACATTATGCAATTATGTAACGTTCGAAGATAAGTTGTTTATTATGCCATCGAGAATCAAAAGAATATCATAGATTGCACTTCAATACAATAAATAGTGTTTCTTTTCAAATAAAGTTAAAAACTTCTTATAGAAATCTTTTTTTATTATGTTTGAATGTAATATAGTATTAACAGTATTAATAATAAAATAGTATTAAATTTAAATTAAATAAATTTTTATATTATTTCAAGTTCTGATATATTATAATAAAATATATAGTGCATTCTATTTCTCTAAAATTTTCTCTAAGAATTACATATTGACATTTTATTAAATTATAATCTTTTCTTTATTTCTTTAAAATTTTGTTCTTAATTATTACTTAATCCTTATTGTATTATAAAAGGTATTTCATTTTTTTAAATATTGTTTTGAATATTGTAAAGAAATAATTGATAGTTTCTCCTTTTGCCAACTATTTTCTTTTTTTTAATAAATCGCAGGTACACACACACACACACACACACACACACACACACACACACACACACACACACACACACACACACACACACCACCACCACACACACACACACACAC